TGTATATATGAAACTCCCTATAAATGTACAGTCCTTGGATGTGTTTGGGGGAAGGGATGATTAAAAAGAGCAAAGCTTTTGAAAGGAGCAAACACTTCAAAAAGTAAAACCCGAGGTGTTTTCCCCCTTCATAATATTAAAAATGCCTTTATAGTTGGAAAAATTTGACAGTTTAAAAATACCTAGAGCAAAAAGAGCTATATGGACTCCATGTTCACTCATGCCCAATTTGCATCTGCCCTCCCAGGGAAACCCCTGCTTTTTAAGTGTAATTATCACAAAAGATTGTAAACGGCCTTCTCCTGGTGCTCTGTGCTGGTGATGTGAGAACAAGCACTGTTCTTTGCTAACTGTTGGTTGGCTCACCAAATCCAGGATTTGGGGCAAAGTTGCTGGCTTGTGGATATTTATCCTAGTTTTAAAGCATTCCTCCAAGTGAGTTTGTTTGTGAAGCTCTTAGAAAAAGGAAAACATATTTCAGAGGCTGATTCCAAACCAAGACACATACATGACCCACATTGTTCAGATGGTGGCTTGGGGTAGGAACAGGTCCACACTCAGTCTGTAAAAGAGTCTGGGCACAGCCAGTGTGTGTCCCACAGCAAGAAGTAAGGCTGACAATAGAGTACAATTAGGTTATGGGGAAACAGTGGATTTCAGACTTTACAGCTAAATCAAAGGGGTGCTTCCAGCTGGGTGTTGGTGGTGCACGCCTTTAATCCCAGCACTCGGGAGGCAGAGGCAGATGGATCTCTGTGAGTTCGAGACCAAGCCTGGTCTACCAAGAGAGTTCCAGGGCAGGCTCCAAAACAATACAGAGAAACACTGTCTCGAAAAAAAACAACAAAAAAGGGGGGTTGCTTCCAGGGTCTCTCAGATATCAGTCAGGGTACTCCCTAGTGGACTAGTGGGTAGGAGGTGGCACTCTCTCAAATGACAGGTTGTCCACACCCTTAGTGCACAGAAAATTCTGAACTTGTCACTCTATGCTCTTGTTTGAGAATGTTTCTAGCTAGGTAAAATGGACAGTGCAGGCTTCTTTCATTGGTGAAATTACAGTGTCTGGTACATAGCAACTTGGTAACCAATAAAACCATTCACATTATGCAAACATTAGGTCACCTGCAGATCTAGTGCCAGAGAGACATGCACCATATTTTTTCCACTTGTTATCTCTGTTTTTTAGAGTGTGTGTGTGTGTGTGTGTGTGTGTGTGTGTGTGTGTGTGTGTGTGTGTGTGTGGAAGCCAGAGGACCACAACAGGTCTTGTTCTTTAGGCACATACTCCTTTGTTTTTGAGATAGAGTCTCTCACTGGGCTGGAACTTGCCAAATGGGAGTAAGCCAGGCTGACTGACCTCTGAGCCCCAGGGATCCATCTGTCCCTACCTCCCCAGTGCTGGAATTACATGTCCAACTGAAAACAAAGCACAAGCAAACAAAATACCCATGTTCAGGTGGCTGAGCTCAGATACTTATGCAAGGCAAGCACTTTACTGCCCAAACTGTCAGAGTCTGAGTTAGACTTTCAGTAGTAGTAGCTCAGGGATATCTGTTGGCCAGCTTTTAGCAAAAATATCAGTACACATCCTACCTGGATTAGGAGCTAAGCAGCATGTTTGCTGTAAGAACCTCGGCAAACTGAATTCCCTAAAGTGAAGCAGTCATCTTCGTGTATTGTCGGGTACAAGGAAAATTCATCCAGTGTCCCATGAAGGATACCAGCCTGCATGAGACATCTAACAGACTTTGTGACTGGGCAGATTCACAGCTTCCAAACCTTTACCTGGATGGCTCCTAGCACTCTGCCTGTTACCCTCACTCACAGTTCATTGGTTTCTTCAGTGTGGGATTGTGTAACTGGTGTCCAGGGTTTGAAAATAAACACAGCTGATTCTTGGAGAGCCCGAAGTGGGGCCACAGACAACAACGTGAGCTGGGGGAGAAGCTAAATGTGTGTTTGATTCTGACAGGAATCAGATCAAGGGCTTCCTTTCCAAGGGATCCTGGCAAGAACATGACAGCAGATGCCCAGAGCAGCCTGGGTCATTGAATTCAATAGCTGAGTCCTGGAGCAAGTGCTGACAAGAGCCAGACTAACACCGGGGCCAAAATTCCTTCTTGCTCTTTCCTCCCTCATCTACCAGGGCTAGCCTCCAGCAAATCAAGCAGTCTTGGAAACTGGTGAAATTATTACCAAGTGCATACCATTTATGGAATGCTAGTTCTGGGCTGGGCACTGGGTGTGCTGGGCAAATACGTTATCTTCAGGGTGCCTGGTGGTCTAGTGATGACTGGAAAGACAATCTGCAAAGAAGCCGAGTAACTATGAAACAAATGAAAGCCTCCCTCCCTCTTTACTTCTTTTTTCTTTCTTCCTCCCTTCTTCCCCTTCTGGGTCCTGGGGATCAGCTCAGATCATCGGGCTGGTGGCAAATGCCTTTACCCTCTGAGTCATGTCATAGGCCCAGGAAGTGCATGTTTAAATGTAGATTGAAAGACCCATTAGGAAGGAAGAGATACAGACACAGAGCATCTGATGATAGCAAACATCCTAAAGAGAAGGAACTGGATGGAGAATATAAATGGAACAAAGGCCTTGGAAAATGGGAGAGACACGTGCCATGCCTGAAATGAAGGAGACCGAGCTGTGTTAAGGCACTATTAGGGCTGTAGTTTTAAGAGCTGTTCCTACATAGTGGCTTCTTTGGCATTTTAGGGCTCATCTAGGTTTTATGTTGCAACCATGGCTACAAGGTAGCATAGGAGACTGAGGAATGAAGACACGAAATGGACTCAGAAACTCGAGGAGGGACCTGAATAGAGAAAAGGACATATTTAGCTTGCTAAGCAGTGGATGAATCCCACCATGACTGGATTTACAGGAGATTTGTTTGCCTTGTTGTTTATACACTGCCTCCTGCCAGGCTCGGACACCATCTATCACTCCGGAATCAGAGCTGGCTCTGTGCGCCACTGTGGCTTTCATGAGTGAATGTCATTTGAGGATGTCTAAGAAGCTAGTAGAAGAATGAATGCAGAGATTGGCCATGGAGATTAAGTCAAAGAGCAAGGACTATTGAAAACGTGTTGAAGATTCTCGTAGGCCAGTAGTCACGATGAAAACAAACAAGGGTTATGGAACTGCCATTCAATAGGGGAAGATGCTGCAGTCAGGGGGTTTGGGACAGATAGTGTGAGTGCTGGAAAGTGAGGACCAGGGTGTGACCCTACACGTGGAAGGCTAAAGTGATGTGAGGTCAAGGAACAGAGAAGCCAGATGACCTTCAATTCCCCAATGTGATCAAGTCGCCCTCATATACAATCTGTGAATGTTTTACATTTATATCATTCTCACAAAATATAAATCCACCTGGGCTGATGTTTATGGATGATGTGAGATTACCACTTGTATTTTCTTTTTGGGTAACCAGTGTTTCTTGCACCATGAGATTGTATATTTCTTCCCTAAATGGCCACTGAATTAGTTTCTTCGTTGTTGCTCTTACCCTTTTTCACTCCTTGTCTGCTCTGAAGTAAGCCAGGCCCTTTGGCATCTTCTCCCTATAGTCCATATTCTGGATGCTGCCATAAAAGTAAACTTTCTAAAATACATATATGGCCATGCCTCTCCCCTAATTAAAATGATTAAATTTCTTTTACAAGAATATAATCCAGACTCATAAGTGTGGCATAGGTACCCTGTGTCACAACACTTTTCTTTCTGATATTCCTTGCTGATAGACTCATCTTCATTTCCTGGCACTAGCCACATTTGTATTCCAGTATTTCTGCACAGAAAGTCTAGAATCCAATTAACTTCTAAAATATCTTACCGAGTCATATTTGCTAGGTTTAAAAAGTTCTAGTTTGTTTATTTGGCATTTATTTGGCATCTGATCTCTATATGTACTATGATAGCATCATAAATTTCCTTACATGTTCACAATCTAGCAGACAGAATGCAGGGACCCAATACCTATTTTAAGGGTAAGAGCTCAAGTGTTGTAGACACTTGGATCAACTGCCACAGCCCCAAGTGAGAAAAATGGCCCTTTGCTTAATGAAAAACAGTTGTGGCTTTGTGGAATAGTTGTTAGGATACATAAGTGAATAAACTTCTATAAAAGTGAATAAAAGTTACAAAGCCATAGGAAGTGAGAGGGCATTTCAAGTAGAGATGTGGCATCTGTTAAGGCAAGGCAAGTAGGGGAATAGAACCTTGACTCCTACAATGGAGCAGGAGAAAGACGAATAGCTGGAAAGCCAGCTGGGGTGAGAGTGCAAACTTTCCTTGGCATTAGGGGACAGTCTGTTGAGGGACTTATGGGATTAGGAAATCACTCTCTTAGGTGGACTGAATTCTAAACGTGGGGATATTAAGTAGAAGAGAATGTGCCAGGCATCTAGGGAAAATACACTGTGGTTTGTCCTGAGGGAAGGAAGAGCTAAAGCGTGCCAGAGGGACTCCAGAAAGGGGACCTGTAGCAATGAGACAATAAGAACACATGAGGAATTCCTGTCCTGCATAAGCCTCTGCATTCACCTGAATGGGGTTTCCCACATGCGTGTTGCTTTAGTGTGTGTGCTCATGTGTGGGGTGAGTGCGCATGTCTGTGTGTGACTGCAGAGGGTACAGGAGTGTGTCTGGTGGCCTGTTTCATTACTCTCAGCCTATGCCCTTGAAACAGGGTCTCACACTGAACCTGAAACTCATCATTTCAGTGATGCTACTTGACTTGCAAACTCTCACTTATCTCTGCTGTCTGCTGCTGGGATTACAGGCATGTGAGGCCATGCCGAGCTTTCACATGGGTGCTGGGGATCTAAATTTGGGTCCTTGTGGCCACACAGTAAGCATTCTTACCCACAGAGCTGCCTCCCCACTCCCTTTGTTGCTTTTTTAAAATAATGCAGTTTTAACTTGTTTCTATAATCTAACTTTGTGTCTTTGGACTAATGACTTTATTCTTTTCTCCCCTGTCCCTTGGTGTGTGATAGCTTCTACTGGATATGGTCGGGTCCCCAGACCAAGATCTCCAGGAAGCTGCTGCCGGCTGTATATCTAACATTCGAAGATTGGCTCTTGCCATAGAAAAGGCAAGATACTCTTGAAACGTGAGCACACACAAGACACCAAATGTTCTGACAAAGGACAAACTACTCCCTCTGCCAGGAAGCCAGAGTCGAGAAGCGTTTATCAGCCAGTCCTTCAAATAGGACACATGGATTAAGACATAAATACTTTTCCTTGAAAATTACAAGAAACTTTTTATTCTATTTAATGAAAAGCAAATATGTAATGAAATGTAAAACCAATAAATTTGTGATAATTTTCCAAGAATTTGAGGGCATGTGTATACATTATATATGGGTTCGACTGCACTTTTGCATCTGCAGTGATTGTAATAAAGAATATAGCTTTCCCAGTGTGCAGTTCCAGATGCACCCGTGAATGTCTTGAGAATGAACCCCTTTTCTGTTAAACCAATCTGGCTGTCCTGTGCTTACAGCTCAGTCTGCTTGATCGCTTGCAAGCCACAGGAGATTTCTGAGGAGATGTGCTGATTTCACAAATGGTTATTAAATAGAATTCAGCATTAAACAGCTGCTCTTAGCAAGAGCATCCTGAGGTCATCCCAAACTTCTCCCATACCATCCAACACTCGAGACAATAACATACAACTGTCACCACATGGCAGCATGCAAATCGCAAGGACAAGGAGTTGTTTCACTTTGGGGCCGACCGAGTGTAAATGATATGTTTCATTTCCCTCACAGCGGAGTCACCAACACTTTTATTGAAATTAATTTATGCTGATGTAAGGATAATATTATTTCATATAAAATTACTCTGAATTTCTGAACTTATTTCCAGCACATGAAGTACTTTTTAAAAAGTGGCCACGAAGGCTTAGTCACATTTTATCAGGTTAAGAAACATTAGAACCCACTTTTAAAAATCACATATGTAACCTCCGTGTGCTGAAATGTTTGGGAACTAACTGTCCCAACCATCTAACACTCTCCAGAAAAACAGCTTTGTATGCATCAGCCCGGAGAGCCAAGGATCTCCCTCAGAGAATGCTTTAGCGAGTGGGCAAGGCCATTTTATTGAAAAAATATTAGGTACTGTATATGTCATCCTTTGGAGAAAACCATAAACCTAATTGAATTCAATGTAAATAATTTGTACAAAAATGAAAAAAGCCTGCGCGAGATGAATATTAGACCAATGACAGAGGCTCCGGTGAAGAGGTAAGTGCTTCTGAGAGTTTTAAGCTTTAAAACGCCCACTTTCTTTGCTGCTTCTTGAAGGAGAAGATAAATGAGAGTAGTGCTAGGAAGAAAGCAGTGTTAATTCTAAGGATTAACTTTGAAGAGTAAAGCCTGCCTGTCAGCTTCCAGCTCGGGATATCTCTAACAGCCCTGTGCTGGTCACTTTTGTTTGACAGCATTAAAAAGCAGCTAGAAGCCGTGGGTTGTGATAGCTACAGGAAATGAATGATCATTAGATTGTTACTAGAGTGATCTCGAAAGTTCACCATCGGCTTCAGGTCTTAAACATTGCTATGTCACTGGGTCCGGGAATTGAAGGGGAAGCAAGATGCAAAACAGCCGCCTGCAAGGGGAGGGGACCCATGAATACTGATGGGTGGATTGCGTTTTACTGTGCTCATGGCGTTGGTTTTGATGGTTAACAAATTCGTGAAGTAAAAGCAACAGAGCCATTTTAAAAGAAGCCACAGCAGTAAGAAATGGATAAAAGCAGTATGAAGACTGTCTTATACATTTTCTAAGTAAAGGCTTACATTCAGATCACCAGCAATGCAGTGCCTTTTAGAATAAGATGCTGATCTCAAAGACCAATTTTGGGCTTGTTTTGTGAAATGGTGTTATAGAAAATGCTGGTTTAGAAAAACAGCAAAGCCTGCAAAGCACCCTTAGTTTTCAGAGGACGTGGGGAGGCTGGTCAGCCACTCCCCTGGTCAGCTAGTATATTCCATTAAAATACTTACGGTTTTTTTCCTTATATGTGAGGGTTATTGTGATATTTATTTTGTGCTAGTGATGACAAGTTTATTTCTGAGTTCTAAAAATGAATTGACAGTTGTCTTAGGGCATGCCATCGTGAGCTCTGTTGCCTCATAGACTTGCTGTTACTGATGTAGCTCTAAAACATTCTTACAGACCTGAGAGATTATGATTTAAAAATATATGAAAAATGTATTCCCACTTAAGATGTGTCTTTGTTGTTAAGAGGAGCTAGTAAGTCCTTTCTTTTTCCCTTAGTTAATATATTAGATCAACCAGATAAAACTTCCCAGTCTAAATGGTTTAAAATAATTTACTCTAATTGCATTCCATGAAGATTTGGGGTTGGAATAACCTATGCTCTTTGCTGTAATTCAATGAATATGTTAAGAAAACCAGATATTAACAACTTCACTGCTTCAGATTCAATAAATGTTCCCAAACTAGCAGTCCAGATGTACTGAAGTGTAAAAATGAACTCTCCCCATAAATGAGAATAGACTCAAAAGCGAACTGGTTTTGGTTCTACTACATGATGCTCCTACATTCAAATACAGTGTTATGTATGCAAACATTATCACACTGTTTATTTCTTTCACGGTGGGGGGATGTTCCGTGGTGGAAATACGGTGGTCAGAGGCACCTGCGGAGTCAGTACTGTCCTGGGGATTGGACTTCAGCCATCAGGCCAGGCAGCGTTGTGCCTTGACCTGTTGAGCCAGGATTAGCCAATATTAGGTTCTCTAGGTCCTGATTAACAAGCAGGAGGACGGATGAAATAGATTCCCTGGTATCTCAGCAGGAAAGTCTATCAGAACAGCAACACCCATTCTGCCAGGGTAATTTTGCAATGCATGCCAAGATTTTGTAATTTTGTGGGTTTTGCTCTGCCGCATGGTCCCACCATGATGCTCTACCTTCTAACAGGCCTGAATCAATGGGCTAACAATACTTTTTTTCTTTATAATTTGATTTTTCCAGGATACTTGTTGTAGTGCTGGAAAGTTGGCTAACAAGCTAGGTTTACAGTACCAGGAATGCCAAGGAAACTTGGGTTCCTTCTTTTACAGTTCAACCACACACGGAAAGTGTGTCTTCGAATAGTAATCCCATAGGATGTTTTTCAAAACATGTTGTTAAATTTCAAAACAGGTTCTGAAGGCAGTATATGTAGTGTGACGTGTTTGTTTTAAGTTATGAGCCAAAGCTATGGCTCAGTGGATAAAGGTGTTTGCTGCCAAGCCTGGTGATCCAAGTTTAATACCACTGACCCACAGGGGCAGAAGAAGAGAACTGACTCCCTCAAGTTGTCCTTTGACCTCCACATACGCATTGTGGCATGAAACTCCCCAGTTCCCCACACACAAACATACACAAAGAATAAAGATATTTTACTTTGTTTTTACAAGATGTTAGAAATGAGGGAGAGCTGACTGGGATAGCAGGGAGGTTAATATACATATATAAAACTGCCATATGTTGGGGAAGTCTTATGCTAATAAAGCACTGTCTGGCCAATAGGAATCTAGATAGGTGGGGCTAGGCGTCCAGGAGGATTCTGGGAAGGAGAAACACAAGAGAGTTCGAGATGTAACCGCCATTGGGGTAGGAAGCCCGGAAACCTCTCCAGTAAGAGACATACTTAGATTAACAATTATGGGGTAAATACTTAAGTCAGAGCTAGCCAGTAAGAAACAAGCAAGGCCAACAGCTTCATAATTAATACAGCCTCCTGTGTGTTTATTTGGGACTGAATCGGCTCTAGAACCAGGCCGGCAGAAAGGCTTCTCTCAAGGAAAGCTTCTCTTAACAGCCATACAGCAAAATTAATAAAAATATATAAATTTATTTGTAGATATTGAAATTTATACCTCAAACTATAAACCTGTGAGTATCCTACATGGTGGACAGAACTGATTTGTTTCCTGTTTTGTTCATCTATGTATTTTAGTCTATGTTGCAATATATAACTATCACTTATTAAAAATACAGAAACTCCCAATTAATTATTTAGAAACACTGACAATAAATCATGATTCCTATTTCTGAACACTAAACTTTTTAAGACACATTTTAATGAGTGCATTAGTGCACGCATGCGTGCATGTGTGCGTGCGTGCGTGTGTGTGTGTGTGTGTGTGTGTGTGTGTGTGTGTGTGTGTGTGTGTGTGTGTGCATGTGGGTACCTAAAGAAGCCTGAAGTCAAAGGTGGCTGTGAGCAGCTCTGTGTGAATGCTGAAAACTGAACTGGGGTTCTCTGGAAGAGTAGCAGGCACTCTTAATGGCTGGGCCATTTCTCCAGTCACTGAACACTAACTTCAAAGGAGACAGACTGAGTTTACAAATGAAATATATAGTATATGAATAAAAGAATTGATTTCTTCTGTGGTTTTCTGATAATTTTACATGAGTACATGTATACATGCTGTATATACATCATTTCTATTCTTATTCCTACCCCTCTCCAGCTCCTCTCGTGCTCTCCCCATTCCCTCTCAAATCAATGACCTCTTCTTTACTAATATCATGTACAATTATAAATATTACACATGTACTATTATAACAGCATATTATATATATAAATATATATTCATATACAACCTCATGTGTCCAGCTAATGCTGCTCATACATGTGTTTAGGAGCTGGATAACCTACTCTGGGTGAAGACTGACTCTCCCTCTCTCAGACGCCACTAATTGCCTATAAAAAGTATTGAGATGTTGAAAATAGTAACTTTACCATGTGTGAAATTCTCAAAAAAATACCTTGTAAATAAATAAAAGAACTCTGTGTGTGTTTTTCACTAATCTTGCCATGTTTAGCTTTTAAAAATATTTTTATGGCCAGGTGTTGGTTGTGGATGCCTTTAATCCCAGCACTTGGAAGGCAGAAGCAGGTAGATCTCTGTGAGTTTAAGACCAACCTGGCCTACTGCTTGAGTTCCAAGACACAGAGAAACACTGTCTCAAAAACAACCAAAGAAGTTTATTTTTATTATAGTCACCCCGTTACCTCCCCTTAACACTTCCCAGATCTACCAACCCTCAATGTGGGGCCCTCTTATTTTACTCTATGACCCATTAAGTCCTATTTGTGCTGTTTGTATACCTCTGGGTATGGAGTCATTCATTGGAGTAATCTAGAAAATACTCATTTGTAAGAGTTTTAAAGCACAGTTAAAACTGGTGTAGCACAACTAAGATATCCCAAAGTGGCCACATGGTAAGCTCTGTCATTTATCAGTTTTATTAGTTAAGCATGTGGATTCATATTCATTCAATCATTCAATCATTCATTCATTCATTCAT